ACTGAACTGTCTTCACTGCCTTGGAAGCTGCCTAGGAGGGAACTGAATTTCAACCTGGCTGCCTATCTGGGACTTGATTTTCAGGCTGAGTTGCCACTTTTTAGTGGATCACAAATTTAGTGAGAGCAGCAACATTGTTTCTTTTTATAAGGAAAATAGAAAATACCCTGTATTTCATAGAAGGGAAGTATTACTTTCATGAAGCTTTTCTTTTTTTTAGTGTGTTTACAAACCTGTGCATAGTGAATTGCCTTGTAAAGTATGTTTCCAACTGTGGATTTTGGTCAAAATTTGATCCTCTTATTTGGACAGCGTACTTCTTTACAAGACTTTCACCTTGTTAAAGAAGGGAACATATATTTTATTCATCTGTCACAGTCTCTGCCACATAAGAGTTGTTCAATAAAATGATTGAGGGAGGGATAAAGGTACAAATCCGAGAATAAGCCCTAGAAAGGTTTTCATGGAAGGCTTTGTGTAGCATTTTATATTCCATCCCTGGGAAATGCTTGTCAATCACAGAATGGAAAACAGCTAAAAGTCTCATACTCTAGTATATAATTTCTTCTTGAAGTATTTTCATTATGTTTTGGTACTTTGCCATATGTTGCTTTTCTGATTTGTGTTATATATGTAATTACCAGTTTAAGGAGATGAGATATTCATTATAAGTTTTCCCTATAAAGGTTTGATACATGTCAAGTTAGATAAGGTGAGATGAAACTGGAATGACAGGACTGCGGAAGAAAAAAATGGGAAAATGGGAAGAGAGAGTGATGAGGAGCTGATGTGCAAGGTGTGGGTGTCAACTAATAGGAAAGATTGTTACCTCTGATTTAAACTGTCAGAGTCCAGAATTACTGTGCTGCTTTCATTTCAATCACAACATTGTGTCTATTTTGAAATTTCAAATGGCATTTAAAGAAGGGCAGGAAATTTTTGAATGGCATATGGTACCAATTCATTACTTTATAGTCACACCTTGTGTATTTTTTTGTTTTAATTTTTATCTTAATTTTTGTGATTACATAGTAGGTATATGTATTTATGGGCTACACGAGATGTTTTGATACAGATACGCAATGCGTAATAATCACATCATATAAAATGGGGTATCCATCCCCTTAAGCATTTATCTGTTGTGTCACAAACAATCCATTTTTACTCTTTTAGTTATTTTAAAATGTACAATTAAATCATTATTGATATAGTCACCCTGTTATGCCATCAAATGCTCTGTTTTTTTTTGTTTGTTTGTTTTTGTTTTTTTTTTTGTACTCATTAACCATCCCCATCCCCACCACCCTTCCCAGCCTCTGGTAACCATTCTTCTACTCTATTTCCATGAGTTCAATTGTTTTGATCTTTAGAACCCAGGAATAAGTGAGAACATGCAGTGCTTGGCTTATTTCACTTAGCATAATGGCCTCCAGTTTTAGCCATGTTTTTGTAAATGAAGGATCTCATTCTTTTTTATGACACCTTGTGTGTTTAAGGGGAAATTTTTATTAGCCATTATTTAAGAGTGCTTCAATACATTATAGTTATTTGGTCCAAATAAGAAGGAAATAGTAATTACCTATTTTACCAAGATACAGTATAGATTAATTGAAGGTGTAAAAGTACACATTCTTATTAATAATGTATATTCAAAGCTTTTAATTCTTGATAACATTTTTAGAGCTAGCAGTAAATCTAAATATGTAAAATGTTTGTCTTTTATAAGTTTGATTCATTAAATTCCTATTATTCCTGCATTTTTAATGATACTAGGCAAATTGGCAAGACAAGTTAGCACAAAGAAGCTACCTTAACTCTTATGCCTTGTAAAAATAGGAAGATCTTTTTGCTTTGCTAAAATTTTTTCAAAGAGGGAGTGTATAGGGCCTGACTGGGACTTGAATCTCAAGGCCTTGGGCAAATATTTGGCCTTCAGAGCCTGGTTTCCTATTGTGTCAAGCAGTGATGATAATAGCTATCTCAGAGAGCTGTTAGGAGGGCTAAGTAGTAAGTGCTTACCACCACACCTCGAATACTTCAAACACAAGAGACCTCTTTGCACAGTGCCTTCAAATTCCAGGGTCATCGTGTAAATTCAGTAAGTTACGCAAATATAAAATCCTCCTGCATGGAGTCAGGCTCACACTACATACAACGTGAGTTTCTTTATATCCTTCAGGGTGAATGTTTTCAGGATTACACCTTGTTTACTTTTTAAGGAAATTCTTATTTTCATATGTAAGGAATTTCAAAGAATACTGTGTTTTATGAGAAAGCATAACATTAGAACAATAGATACCTTAATTGAGTCACGTTTCCAAACTCTGAAAAGCATTTCTGTGGCTTGTCTTTTGTATTGTGTATTCTCACACACGTGAGTGATTTCTTTTCACCCATTTGAAATTTCTTTAGATTGCAGCCACTTATTTCCTTCCATTCAAATGTCGAGGTCTAACATAGTCACGGGCCAAGTCTAACATAGTCACGGGGCCAGAACAGTGTGAGCAGACCATTGCCTTGTCCACCCAGTTTATGTGACTGCTTTAACGTGTGAAGGGGAAGGCCTATTAGACTTGTGTTGCTGTTGTTTATCATAAACAATACTAATACACATTCCTCCAAGCCAGAGAAAGGTGGCTGTGCTTTTTATTTTTAGGAGAGGGTGTTTGTCTTCGTGATTGCTTTCCGCCTCTGCATTCCCACGCATGCTTCCCTTACCTGGAAAGCTTCCTTCCTCTTCCTGCCTCTGCACCTGCTTCTGCCCAGTCCACCCTCTCTGCGTAGCATACAGCCCTTATCTTCTCAGATGTCTTTCAAGGGCCTCCTCTCCTGTGGACCTTTTCCTGACTCTCCAAGTTAGTTTGGCCTTTGGGCCTCTTCTGTTTCCTATGTACTAGGTCTGTCATGGCAGCTGTTTGACATTGCACTGGCCTAACTGCTGGTGTTTCTTTTCTTTTTTTGCTCTTTCACCCAGGCAGGAGTGCAGTGGCATGATCTCGGCTCACTGCAGCCTCTGCCTCCCAGGCTCTGGCGATCCTCCCACCTCAGTCTCCAGACTAACTGGGACTACAGGTGTCTGCTACCACACCCCACTAATTTTTGTATTTTTAGTAGGGGTGGGGTTTTACCACTTTGCCCAGGCTGGTCTCAAACTCTTGGACTCAAGCAATCCTTCTGCCTTGATGTCCCAAAGTATTGGGGTTACAGGTGTGTGCCACTGTACCTGGCCCTGCTGGTGTTTCTTGTGCTCAAATATGAATAAGCTTACTGAGGACAGGAACTACTGGCTGGTGTTCTATTTGTCTTTGTGCCTACTGGGCTGAGCATGTTACTTGGCCATATTACCAGCTTCATAGATGTTGGTAGAATGAATAATGGGTTCATCCTGAGTGAGAAAGACATCCACACACTCTCCCTGTCAGCATCCTGCATACATACTAATCTTCCTTCTGGGGGATTGGGTTTCTAGCAGTTTCTGCCCTCAGCACTGAACCAGCAGTTCTCTCACAAGGAGGGAAAGACTTCTCAGTGACAGGAGAGTGATAGAAGAGGACCATGAACTCGACATGGACCTTGCTCAGCTTCCTGCTGCACTGCTTTGTGTATAAGACAGAAAACATTCAACACTGGGACTCTATGCTAATATACCACATGTAACGTAGTAGTTTAGCATTGTAATTTTACCGCTGTTTATAATGAGTCTAAATTGTTGAAAACATAAAAGGGCCTATATATTCAGATTTTAAAATGTGGCATATATATGTATAGCATATTTTTAAGATATTTTTATCCAAAATTAATTAAAATGTATTCTTTCATTTAAAGACGTGTGTATTAGTTTACTAGGGCTGCCAGGACGAAGTACCATAGACTGGGTGGTTTAAACAACAGATATTTATTATCTTGCAGTTCTGGAAGCTGGAAGTCTGCGATCAAGTGTCAGTGGGGTAGTTTTCTTCTGAGGCTTCTTCTTGGCTTTCAGATGGCCGCCTTCTCCCTCAGTCTTTATATCATCTTTCCTCTGTCTATGCCTGTGTCCAAATTTCCTCTTTTATAAAGACTCCAGTATATTGTATTAGGGCCCACCCTAAATGACCTTTTTTTCTTTTTAAACTTAAATCACCTCTTTAAAGGCACTGTCCCAGCACAGTTGTATTCTGAGGTACCAACATAGGAACCGGATAGGGGACACAGTTCAGCCTGTAACGGTGTGAATTTTAACTAATCTATGGACGCAGGGCACTTTGTTGACTAAAGATACATGGAATGCTGTGGTGAGGGCATATGTATCATACCATGTTTATGTGTCAGACATACAGAAAGTCACCACTCTTAAAATGAATAGCTGAGTTTGTTAACCTAGGGGTGGCTACTTGGCCAAGTCATCAAAAGACTTCACCCTTCTTCTATGAAATATAGTCCTAAACTTCAGTAAGAGTGTGTAATGTTACCACAAAAAGAAAGGGTATGGCAAGTACTCAAGAAAGAAGGAAAAATAATAAACACTAAGAGGCTGGTTCTGGGTTTAAGAATAATGCCTTCTGAGTGCAGCAAGTTTCAGTGCACATGAAATCATGTTAAAGTTAGTGATGAATTTGCATATTTTTAACATAAACAGTATTGTAACTCAATATATATTCCACTCTTTCCCATCAATGAAACACTCTAAATAGGAATAGCAAAATTATGAGGAGTAAAGATTTTCTATAATATCTTTAGAGCTTGAGGAAGTACTCAGAAAGCTACATCAGATGATGTGCCATTAACTATGGTCCAGGGGAACTTGTTTGTGAGTAATTTCTTCTGTGAGTGGTAGACCAAAGGCTCTTTAAAGTACAGACTCACTCTTCGAAGAGTAGAACTATTAATTTGTTATTCCCAGGGCTAAGTTTTAAGAACTTAAGTTTTTATAATGTTTAGAAATTCTGATTTTTCAAAATTTTCATCTATAAGTATTTTGAAAATACTTTTTTTTTTCTTCTCTCCTTGTTAAAATTCAGCTGATGGTTTTTGGAATCTTTCTGTGCCTGGATGCGTTTTTGTATGTGTTCACCCTGCTTCCTTTAAGAGTTTTCCTGGCACTATTCAGGCTCCTCACTTTGCCTTGCTATGGCTTAAGGTAAGTTTAAAATCATTAACTATTGTAAATGTATAGTATTTCATTATTTTTAATACTTGTGATGGTTGCAGAGTAAGGATAATTTATACAGTTTCATCCACACTTTGGCCCTTCATGCATAAAATAATTGTTTATCTTTTTGATGGATATTATATAGTGTGTTTATATATTATTATACTTTTTATATGCTTTTTTTTTTTTTTTTTTTTTTTTTTTTTTTTTTTTTTTTTTTTTTTTCAGAATTGTTTTGAACCAAAACTTTGCTGTAGCCAGTAGAATAATGTTAATGCTAGAGGCTGTGTAACAGTGTAGAAAGGACCTGGTACTGAAAGTCAAAGACCTACTTACCATGTTCCTAACTCACCTATGCCTTTATTTCCACGAAGGCCTTGGGCCTCTTAGGCATCATCTGTAGAAAGCACAGGGTTCTAGGCTGGAGGGGTAAAGGAATCTCCTCAGGAGCTCTTACTACAAGGGTTCTTCCTCCATTTCATTTGAGAATCATTGTTGTAATGGTCTGTGGAGCCTTAGTTACTGGTAGTAAACAAGACTCTGATCCCTGAGAGTGGAAAAACTCTCAGGGATCATTGTCCCCACTGGGAAGATCAGACAGCCTGACCTGACGTTGACTAGCTTGTGAGCTGTGTGCAACTGCCTGACTTCTCTAAGTGTGCTTCCCCCTCAGCCAAAAGGGACTATTGAGAGCTCAGCATCTTTTACCACAAAGATTGGAAGATGTTAAAATAATAGCCAGCGTAGTGCCTGGCTCATAGTAGACAAGAGCAGGTAATCAGTTTTCTTCTTTTTCTTCTCTACCAAAACTGAGAATAGTAAGGTGACAGTGTTAAGCTTACATGAAGCTTTATGCTTTATTGTTCTGGAGGTTAAAAGGAAGTTTGGCTTTTACAGTTTTCTTTCTTTGTATAGTTAGGCCAGTGTGTCTCTATTCTGTATATAGTCACTCTTTACAACATTTTTATTTAGTTCTTAGCAGAGATGTCCAGGTTACATTTATGACATGCATCACTTTTCTAAATACATTACATTCTGGGAAAATTCTAAAATAGACAATAATTTGTGAGACTTCATTGAACCATGGTGACTGTTCCATGGTATGTAAAATATATAATTAATAAAATAATTTAGCCATAGCAATTGAGTTAAAAGTTAGTGACCAGTATACACAATTATATGTTTTTCTAAAAGACTAAAGCCATGGGAGATTATTTTTTAAAGTCGTAAATGAGCATATACTTAATATTTAGTAACAGATATAGTCGTTTTAAAAATAAGACTCAATCTGTTTTGATAGAAATTCCTCCTAGTGTAAATTGGAATAATTTAATGATTATGATGATCACATTATGAAGGGATTGAGAATCCTTGTTTTGCAAGGTTACGTGGAGTAAGACAATTATAAAAATTCAGCTCCTGTCATTGTTATATGTTCTGTTCTGTAACTTACTTGCCTTCCAGGATAACAGTGGATTAATGCTACATATTTTATTAATCACAAGTTAATCAAATGGGATGATAGTTATAGGAATTTAGTCATTTGCTTTAAGGTATTTCTAGTACATGTTTTATTCCTTTAGAAGAAGTTTTAAGAAGGCCTTATGACTAACAAATCTTTTTAAATGTATTTTAAAAGCATGGCACATTAATACTAACAAAGCCTAACCACAATAAACTATTTTTCTTTATCACTATTGGGAGCTTCATATTATCATGGCATCTTAGTTCATTTTCAGAAGACCAAAATACAGTCTAAAATAACATTACTAAATATACATCTTTATTTGGAACTACATAAAGTGAATAGACACATGGACATTTAGATAAAGTCAAGTAAAACACATGACATAAAATTACTAATGTTGCTGGGTATGGTGCCTCATGCCTGTAATCTCAGCACTTTGGGAGGCCAAGGTAGGAGGATCGCTAGAGGCAAGGAGTTCAAGACCAGCCTGGGCAAAATAGTAATACCTTATCTCTATAAAAAATAACAAAAAATTAGGCAGATATGGTGGCACATGTCTGTGATCCCAGCTACTCCAGAGGCTAAGAGGTTGGAGAATCACTTGACCCTGAGAAGTTAAGACTGCGGTGAGCCATGATTATGCCACTGCACTCCAGCCTGGGCGTTGGAATGAGACCCTATGTAGGGCTTTTCACATCTACACTATGAGCTACATTACTTTTTAGTTATTCTTTGATTAACATTGTGGGGCAAGTTCATGCTGTAGCCATCTTTATGTGGATGGCTTTCAAAGACATGTCATGTTCTCAGTGGCTGTTGGCACAATGTGATAAAACATTAACATGATGTATAAGCTAATGACTATCTTCCTCCTGGAGTGGTTCCTTCTTTGGGTATACCAAGTAACAGTGGTGATTTGCCAGTGATCCCAAGGGTCTCTCTTTGGGGACACTTATCTGAAGATCCATCTTGTTATATTGTACAGACATCTAAAACTGTGCTGCACTCAGTTCATTTCTGTGTAACTCCTGTTATATGGGGGAACAGGGCACATAAAATAGCATTAGAAGAGTCTTTTCTAGACCAGCACGGTGGTACACACCTGTCATCCCAGAACTTTGGGAGGCCGAGGTGGGAGGGTAGCTTGAGGCCAGGAGTTTAGACTAGCCTGGGCAACATAATGAGACCCTGTCTCTACAAAAAAAAAAAAAAAAAATTAGCCTGGTGTGGTGGCAGACACATGTAGTCCCAGCTACTTGGGAGGCTGAGGTGAGAGGATTCCTTGAGCCCAGGAATTCGAGGCCACCGTGAACTATAATTGTACCACTACATTCCATCCTGGATGACAGAGCAAGACTCTGTCTCAAAAAAAAAAAAAAAAAAAAATTCTTAAAGTGTTTGTTCTGGAAACTAAAAGATGTTGCAGGGAGCTGGGAAATCTTAAATTCTCTGCCACTATTTACTTTTATGAATGGTTAATGATCCCTAGCTCCAACCTTTTTCAGATATTTTAAGATTTTTTTGTAGCATATAAGATGATTGCTTTCTTACATTAGTTTGAAATACTTTGAATCTTAATTAGTTTGAGTAGTATTTGAAAGTAAGATGTTTTCTATTTTCAAAGTTTTATAGCTAAAATGACACTAGAGGGCAGCCTGTTAACACTATTTAAGACTCCATTGAGGATTTCCTCTGCAAACAGTTCTTACTATTTCTGCTTTGGATTAACTGAAAAATTAATTTCATGCTATCACTAATACTTAACTGTATAAAAACATGAAATGCAGTTAAAATTATATAACAGTTTCAGCAATTTTAAATGATAGGAGTTTAAACAAAACTTAAATTTTCATTTAAAGTTTAAATGAAACAGAGTTTCAACAATTTTAAATGCTTTGAGGATAGGCCAAGTTACACAGAATATGAAAATACTGCCCTAATGTCTTTGTGCCTTAAGCATGCTTTGTTAAAAATTGAGTAATTTGTGCTTATAGTAATATAGGTTGCAATTTTATTTTCTTTGAGCAATTTAGAAAATATCTCTTTGAGCATTATTTTTAAAGTCACAAAAGTTGAAATATTTGATAAGATCAAAGTTATATTAAAGCTATTGCTAATTTTAAGTCTAAGACCTTTCAAATAATTTAGGAATATAAAAATATTTTTTAGATTTGCCAAATGATTATTTAGAAATAGCCAGATTCTGCCTTCTTATAGCTTTTCTTCCGATGTTTTCTACTTCTATTAAAGATTATTTGATTTGTTTTGCCTGTAGTGATGTCATGATCCATCCTTTTCAGCAAGCAAAAAGTGCTCTTTCCTTCAGTCTGACTTTATTTTTTTCAAAGGAATAAGAAGAAATGAAATAGACTGGCAAAGAAGTTGATTGCAATATGTTAAGTAATAGTTCCTTTTTTCTCTCTCCTGTATTTCAGTCTTCTTTCCATAAAAAACTTACTGTCTTCCTCGTTTCCTTGAAATTGTTTTCACAAAAGGGAGGAAACAGTCTGTTTGTCAAATTAATCACCATGCTGACATGAAAACAGTAACTCTTTTCAGTCTCTAGAATTTTAGGTTCAATATCACATGAATAACAAGGTAATGTTATTGCCTTCTTTTTACATTTGAGATCAGCGTTCTCACCTCATCTGTTTACAGATTTACTTCTTGTACAGCATTTGTGAGAGGCTTTTACAGATAGACCCCCATATTCCCTGCTCCATAGCTTACTATTTTAACCTATTTCTAGATCTTCTGCAAACTTGCCATGGTTTTTGACTTAAGTAAATAAAGACCCTGTCCCTTCACTAAGGCTGAGAACAAGGGTGGTTCTATAGTGCCTTAAGTAAACTCAGCCTTCATCATGATCGTTCATCCAGCAGGGTGTTTTGCTGGTTTTGACCCTGTTATAAAGCACTGTTCATTATGAGATGTTGGCAGATAATTATCTGGAGTCATATTTGTGTGTGTTGTTTGCCAAGGATGCACTGCCTCCCTAAAAGTTCTGTTCTCAGTGATCTCAAGAATACTTCTTGAAATTGTTTCTGATGAATTAACAATCTTGAAACATCTTTGCCCCGAAATGTTTTGTTGTGGACTTAAAAAAAAAAATAGAAAATGCATCTAAATTCTTTAAAAGCAGATTCATTTATGTATATCTTCCCTCTTTCCCAGGTAAGAGTAGTGTCATTTTAGAAATCATTTGAGAAACTTCTTGAACTAGGATAATCTTTTTAATGATTCATGACATGTAAAACAGAACTAAGTTTTGATTTATTATATGAAGTATCTGTTCCTTGGAAGAATGATAGAATTTTGTTTTTTAGAAAAGTAAACTGTTCTATATTGTGTTAGGGGTACCAAACATCATTTTATCAAATTTACTTGTAGAATTAAATGAAAAATAGTTAATTATGTAAGTTTGATTTACCTGGCATTTTTGTGAACCCTCTATTCTAAAATTTGAGACTTTATTTTGTGCTTTAGAATTCTTAGTCACGTGAGTTACAAGTTAAAGATT